TATATATATATATATATATATATATATATATATATCAAAAAGCAAGGGTACCTACATTTTATAAGAGAAGAATATGTTAAGGTACATGAAAAATAAAGAGTGGGGTTTATATTTTGATTTTTCTAAGGGTTATTTGCAAAGATAACCTTGAAGTTTAAGGTCCAAATGATCTCTTGTTGTCCATTTGTTATGTTAAAACACTGTAAAGCTAAGAAGATTCACATCACAGTTAAAAATAATAATAAATAATTGTCATGGCCATATTCCGTCTGCAAGTAGAGTTATTGAATGTAGAATAGTAAAAACATTAGAATGCCACAGTGCCAGTAGTTTAAGTTACACTTACAGTTACATAGTTAGAGAGCCTGAATTTTGGGGCAATGTTGATGATTTAGGAGTCTACAACTTGTGCAAGTCTACATAACATCAGTACTATTAATCATAATTTGATTATATTATTATGTGTGATTCAAAACATATCATACCAGGAACGGAATTCCGTACTTAAAAAACTTCCTTTCTGATACGGCCTTTAACTTATAAATCAAATCTCCCATACCAAGACCGAAGCAGCATCTATTTGCCTATGCTCTTTCTTCAGACACCTAGTGTTGGTATTCTTACATGAAGTGTGTGTGTGTTTGTGTATTTATATTTATCCTTAAAACGTCATTAACATGAATATCACCGTCATTTTCATTTTAAAAAAAGATGGACTAACAGTTGAAAGTGTATTGCTCTTTGCAGATTTGAAATAAAGCTGATTAATGTAGAGTTGATTAACATAATGTAATATTATACCAGAATTATCAAATTTTGATTAAAATATATGTACGAAATTACTCCTTGTAAATATTTAGTTAAGCCCATTTAGTTAAGATTAGTCAGTTAATTATCACGGTATATAACGCTTTATGCTAGTGAAGCGTGATAGTTTGTGTGATATTACATCAAAATGAGACTGATAATATATAGAGAGATATATACTTGTCATAAAACATTAGTATTTGGCCTATTATATTTTTAAATGCTGCATTCTCTCGGTGTTTTTTCAATAATTAGAAGAGTGTATAATAATACTATTCCAACCACACTATATTTGTCGCGCCCATTGCCGACAGCGTTTTTTACTCAATTCAGAGATCTACAGGCCGGCTGGGATACAACAAATACAGCAGAAGTCGGAACACTATTTATAAAAGTCATTTAATACAACAACATCTGTTATGGTATGTATGCTTTTTAGAAGCTAGTAAAGAATGATTACAATTATTCTTGTCATGAGACATTAGTATCACGCCTAGTACATTTCTAAACACATTCTTTATATAGTCCCTTAGTGATTTTCAATAATCAAAATAGCTCTGGATTGAATGAAAAGCGTCGTCGGCAATGGTCATGACAAATATAGTATGATTGTAATTCTTGAAAAACCCTAAGGGACTAGATAAAGAATGTAGTGTTCACAAATGTAATATGCCTAATACTAATTTCTTATGACAAGCATAATTGTAATCAATCTTCACTAGCTTGTAAAAGACGTAAACACCATAACAATTATTGTCGTATCAACCAGTTTATATAAATAGTGCTCCCACCTTGTATTGGACTAACGCATAGGCCACCGAAGTCTGGACCCCACCGGCCACCTAGTTAAACAAATTGTGGTTCGTAAAACTAGCAGAATAGAGGCAAGAGTGAGCTATTATTATCATCATTATTCCTAAGTATTACCTGGGCTTAGGGTCCCACCAAACCTTAATCCAGCCCTACACCCACCGCGAATGTGTTTGTTGAATCCCAGCTGGCCTGAAGAGCTCTGAATTGAGCGAAACGCGTCGTCGACAATAGATGTAACAAATATAGTGTGGTTGGAATATTATTATTATACAAGCTGGAGTACTCGTCCCCTGGACGGAAGTTGTGTGAATTCATGATTAATGAAAGGTTATCTTAGGATACGAAAATTTGCTTCCCTTACATGTAATTGTAAAAAACGCTCATAAAAAACTGCAAAACACAAAATGTTAAACCGCAAATTTGCATGTATCTCCGTATGGACCCAACAAACCTTCATGCCAAATTTGGTGAAGATACATCCAAAGGAGATGAGGTAGTGGTAAAAAAATGGCATAAACACCCATAAAAACAAAAACAAAAGAACATAAAACTGAAAATTTGCATACATCTCGCCATGGACTCAATGAGCCTCTATACCAAATTTGGTGAAGATCCGTCCACAGGAGGTGAGGTAGTGGTAAAAAACGCCTATAAAGACTGCAAAACTGTAAATTTGTATATGCCCTCGCATAAACCTAATGAAGCTCCATATCAATTTTAGTGAAGATCCATCCACACCCTGCAAAGGAGTTACATGGACATACAAAAGACAGTGCTATTACATTTAATTATTCTAATTCTTGAATATTACTAATATTTTATGACAAGTATAATTGTATACAAGTATAATGTATATATACACAGACACCCTACAAACCATTCTTTCATTGCTCTGTACTACCTCACATCTTGTGCACTGCACACTACTGCTGATGGTGCTGTTACAAATCCGTTCGTTAGTTAATTTTCCGTAAAAATTCTTTCCGAAGAAACTCTAGCGATACAAGTCTTTTCTTAAATAAAACTGGTTTATTCTTTCTGAATACAACTTTGCGATACACTTAATTTTCACAGTAGCGCTATAACAAACGCTATAATTCACAACGAACGTCTCACGTGTTCCACTCAACTGTCAATTACTCATTATATTGTTGCCGTCACGTCTTGACCGTCTTATATATAAAAGAATACCGAAATCTAGTAAACGCTAGAATATTCAGGAAGGAACAGGAACCTTCTAGAAGTTAATGACATGTTACTAGAGTCACGTTACTTCCGCTGTCGTAACACTGCCCCTTCCTTAATATTGTTCGTCCCCAACAATAGCCACTTACATTAAAGCAATAAACAATTAACAATAACTTAATTAAATGTACAGAATTTACAAACACAAAATTAAAATTCAACAAAGTCTCTTAATTTTACGGGACGTATCTTCTTCCATACTGGTCTCCGTCTCCTTGGCTTCTTCTTCAAGTGGGGTTCATTTGCTTCATCAGGATATGTCCTATCATCGGTAACAGTCACATCAGTGGAAGTAACTTCATCAAGGGCTTCACTGTTTCCCTTCTCAAAACTGAGTAGAGTTTCTTCTTTGAGAGTGGCTTCTTCAGGTGACACGTCTTCAGCAGCGTCATTTGTTCTGTTGTTCACTTCGTCCCAACTGAAATGTCCTGGACTGTG